TGTGTGTGTGTGTGTGTGTGTGTGTGTGTGTGTGTGTGTAGTGTGTGTAGTGTGTGTAGTGTGTGTGTCTGTCTGTCTGCCTGGCTGGTTTCGCTCCTGCTGACAGAGTAATGGATCTGTTCATTGTTGCATGTGGACTGTGTGTGATGTATGAGATTCATTTGAAATTCTCTGTCTTAAATGAGGCACTCACACGTCTCCATGTGGGATAGTAAGGACTTAAAGGCGAATGTATCATAGGAAAATGAACAAAAGTAGCTCATTTTTGTGGTCATCGACGCTGTGAAATGCTCTCCATCGTGGTCTTTTGTCTCACATTTTTCTCTTTTGGTCTCATGTGAAACTCATATCATGCACAATAAATGTGTTAAAATCACAATTTGTTGCTGTGCTGGCCTAATACTGAGAGCTATGGTATGTAAGAGTGGGAAATGAGAAAAGCCTGGTATAATTACATTATAAAATGCTTGGAATTTAATCATATATTCAAAGAGTTTGGTAACTATGAATGCAAATTTATGTATCGTGGTTATGTCTCACTAGTATTTGAAAAGTACACGCAAGAAATTCCTGATGAATAAATAATTCGACATGTTTCCATTATGCAATTCATTTTATTGCCAAGTTGATTTTGAGTATAGTAACAAACAAAACAAACATGACGTTATTCACATTGGCTTTTAGAAAAAAAAAGCTTTATCAACATGATTGTATCGAGACACCATCATTAAATGAAATTATTATAAAAACCCACAATTGAAATTTACACAAAAATTACCTATAAAACATTTTGACATGCAATAAATACATTCATTTCATTAAAGCAAAAGTAAGATCAATATTGACAATGAAATGCAGAAAATGCAAAAAAATACTGTATGGTTTTGTGTATTGCTTTAAACTGTTTGGATGGCAAAAACTCTGTTGGAAACATTTTTTTTTTCAGGGCGCCGGTAGCCTAGTGGTTAGTTCGCACACCCCATGTACGGAGGCCGTAGTCCTCAAAGCGGGCTGCCCGGTTCCAATCCGACCTGTGGCAACTTTCCCGCATGTCATTCCCCACTCTCTCTCTCTCTCTCTCTCTTTCTCTCTTTCTCTCCCTGATTTCCAACACTATCCACTGTCATATCACTAAAATAAAAGCATAAAAAAGCCCCAAAATAAACCTTTAAAAAATAAAGAAATCTAATTTCAATTGTAAATTTGTGTGTATGTATTCTTAAAAAAATGTTCATGTATCTGTAGCTGTCTTCGTGGCACTTTGTGTTCCTGCTACACGTTCTCCCCTTAGACCACAAGCACCTCCAAACATCACAGTAATCTTCATTCGGTCATAATCCATCACTTCATCACGTAACCTTTCTACAAGACTAAATTTGGTGTTTTGAGAGTGTGTGTGTGTGTGCGTGTGTGTGTGTGTGTGTGTGTATGTGTATGTGTGTGTGTGTGTGTGTGTGTGTGTGTGCGTGTGTGTGCGTGTGTGTGTGTGTGTGTGTGCGCGTGTGTGTGAGAGAGAGGACCATGAATCTCAGGTTTTAGTGTGTGTTGGGAGAAAAGCTGTCAGTGGAATCCCCTTTTTTTTAATAATGACTTTTTCTATAAGAAGTGACACTCCAAACGGAGCAGGGCAGCCTAATTAAATCTGACCTAATCTTGAGCAGCAGTCTGCCATGCAGCTGTGTGTGTGTGTGTGTGTGTGTGTGTGTGTGTGTGTGTGTATGTGTCTGCATGTGAGTTTGTGTGAGAAATACAATCAAATCTCTCCCTGACCACCTTCAGCTCTCCTAAATCCCTGCTTTTTTCCCTTCTCCTTTGAAATGAAACCTTGAAAGTTTTTACACTTTAAACTAAACGATTCTTAGTCCACTCTGTTTATGTTCAATGTAAAGACAGAAACAGATTTGAGTCAAACAGATGGAGGGCAAAAGCAGCCAGAGCCCCCTTTTCCTTGTTCATCTACAAAGAGCCTTCTGTGGGTCATGTGCTAATTAGCTGATCATTTTTCAGTCTGGAAAAAAAAAGGATGACATCTCTAAGGGCACGCTGACATGATGTTAACGTTAAAAAAGAGCTTCCTGCAGAAACTAACAATGAAAAGGCAAAAAAACAACTGCATTTCCTTACGAGGAAAATTCCTGACAGAGGGCAAGGAAACAAATGTAGAAAAAGAGGTGAGCAGACACACAAAGCAAACATCTTTTCCTAGTTATTTACAATCAGACACAAGCCAATTTTCACTCTGATTCTTTTCCTCATCTCTATTCCTTCTTCTCTCTATCTCAGTGCATGACTTGGCCAGTGCAGCCAAGGCCCCGGCTCAATTGTGCAATTTCATACGTGTTTACTTTACTGGCATCTTTCTGCGAATATTTTTGCCTGAACATTTCCCCTCACATTATTCTGCATTTCCTCTACAGCGATACGCTGTCTTTAATCTCCCTTTGTAAGCCGATTCCTGGCCGCAGGATCAGAGTACAATAACCATGTCAGTTTTTTTTTAATTTGGCCCATCATACGGTGTATTTTAGCACATGCCACAACGTTCATTTTGGAAATTGATCAGGGCTTAAAGGAAAGAAAGTAGCTCTCCGCATAAATATTTAGACAACTGTCTTCTTCAGCATGAAAAACAGCTGGAAGTAAGTGGATCATGGGCGAGGAGGAGGTGGAGGAGACGTGTGGAGTGGGTCAGCGGTTTGTGCGAAGTGTAAGAGGAGAGAGGGGACAAAAAGAGGTGAGGAGGGAGGATGTGAGTGGAGGTAATAAGGGCGCAGAGTGAGCGTGGCCAAGCTCTGCACTGGAGGGAGGAAGAGGAGGAGAAGCAAAGTGCCAGAGGAAAGGCAATTGTGGGACTTCTACGGGATCATGAGAGTAATAAAAATCACAATACGATGATTTTTCCAGAAAAGTGCAGTGCGGGGGAAATAAATCTAAAGCAGCTGCATGTAATAAAGACTAGAAAGTGTCAAATCTCTGCCTTGTACTTTGCCCTGCTGCACTGTGGGAAAGGCGCTCAGACATGGAGATAGACAGGTGCAAAGTTATTGCAGTGTTATTGATTTCTCTTAAGGCACTTTTGTATTGTTTGACAAGAGTCAGTTTTTGGTGCAACGTCAAGAAAAGCTTGGTTATTAATATTATTTTGCTCCAGTTTACATTGAAACATTTGTCCTGGAAAAGTAACTATGCATACTTCAAAAAAGTGTCATGTCAGCGTTGTGCTCCGATAAGGCAAACGTTTTCAGAATAAAGCAAAATTGGTCAGAAGCTAAGCTGGACAATGAAGCAATTGGAAATTTAAAGGCAAAAATGGCCGCTGATTTTTGTTTTGAGCACTAGGGATGTCTGCTAAGTGCTTCAGTCCTTTTGGCACACATGGTCGCATACAGTTAATGTCAAACAGACCTCCGATCAGTGTGACACAGGTGACCTCAGCCTGCTGTCACTGGTAGAAAGCTTAAAGGCATACTTTGCATTTTTATCATCAACCTAAACCCTTTTTTGGTCTACATGAGGGCCGCTGGAACTCAGCCAGGTCCTTTTTACATCTATATTGTTAGTGTTACAAAAGTTATGGGCCTGGGACGGTTGCCATAATATTATCAGATAGGACTGAAATGGTCTTAGAAATTAAATAAAAGAAAAACATCCACCCACATCTCAGATCTGGTGGTCGCTTATTTATATAAGCATTAATTCATTTTCATTTCAACAATTAATGTAACCCATAAATTGTTTTGAGTGCCTTGTTTAATTACTTTCAAAACATCTTCATCTTAACCACTTTGGTGGCAATGAGAGGTTTTCTGTTTGGTGTCTCATATAAATTACATTACTGAGGGCAGATCGCATAAAATGCTCATGGGATGAGCGGCTACACCAATAATTGAAACAAGACTTTAGTAATTATTCTAATTAAAACAACCACAGAGGAAAAGAAATGCAGGCAGTTTTTTTACACATATGATTTGAATTAGTTGCAAGTCCTTGCATATTAATTGACTGTGCCCTAATTTTCAAAAAAATATACACATATGGAGAAAATGTTGTAATGAATTCCTCTGACTGAAAGGAAGCCAAAAAGTTTTATCCACAACATCCTGAAAGTGTAACAAAATGTCTGAACGGCTTCCTCACTGCGCAGCCCTTGAAAGCCCACAATGTCGTATCACGTTGATACTGAGCAGAGGTTTTACTCCCAAAGAGCAAAAGACGGGAAGGAAAAGAGAAGATACAGTCTGCTTGTTTTCTGAATGGAGAGTTTTAGAAGTACGAAACACTCTTTCATACTGAGACAATGGCTCGCGCACACCCTGCTGCGTTCTCCCTGCTCCTCTCCCTCCTCATTCTCCGTCTCTCTATCTGCCTCTGAGCAGAAACACACGGCACATCCTGCCCGACACGACACACCAGCCAAAAGTTCACTTCCTGCTCCTCAGTTCGTCTCCTTCACACCAAAATTATTCCCGGGACATGCATTAACAAGCACCTCATTCACTCTAAAGGCATCGGGACACACAAACATAGGAGAAAATGCTTCCCCTTTCTATAGATACCCGATCGTTCTCCCCTGTCTGGCATACGCATTAATGCAATTAAGCAAATCTCAAACAGTGCACATCCTACAGAAATGCTCTGACATTATCTTGCTCTTCCCTCCTGCACAGATTCGGTGTGACAGTGGAAACACTTTGTGTTATTTTAATGGTGTAAGCAAAGGGAAGAGGAGGAGAAGGTTTTTCGTTTAAACTTGTGAATGAGAGAGGCTGAAATTCCCACGACTGACATCCGCCTACTCCTACACTTTCTACACGTTTATACATATTGTTTACTGTTAAAAAACATTGTATCTCAGCTTTTCTTTTTTTTCTTGTCAGAGTGCTTAATAAAAATGGAAACATCATCCAAAACAAGCAGGCTTCCTCTGTGTTTTTTGCTTGTATCTGCAGACTCAGTCTGACTTTAACAGAGAGTTCACTGACCTCTGGAGAAGAGGTCAAACAATATGAGGCTGGTGTCATGCTAGCCCTGCAAAAAAAAAAAAAATGCTCATCTGTCTAAGGGAAGAACTGATAACACATCATGTCTTAAAGAGAAGTTTCAAAATGTTACACTTGCAACCTTAACTTGTCTGTATGTCTGTTTGAAACCAGATACTAATGCCATCCTTTTCGCTGAAGTGTAGTTCAGGAATTCACAAACAGCCAGTTTAGATGCTACTGAAATGGCTTTGCCTCGTGTTATAAAAATGGAGTTGGTCAGACCATCAGAAGCCTCTTTGAGGACACGCAATAGAAAAATGTATACAGCATAGAAAAAAGTTTTAAAAAATGTTAATATCACATATTATCTCTCCCTCATGAAAGTAACACGAAATGTATAAACACATGAATAACCACAGGTTTAACACAGGACGAATGCCCTGTAAATAATGAAATTAAAAAAAGGTGTGTGTGATGAATTGCTTATAAAGGTTAAGTAAAGCTTAGCGCCCCCATGCTGGGTTCAGTCCTGAGGTAAGCACCAGTTTCACGTGCGCTGCTTTCATTTCAAATCAAACTAAAGAAAAAGGAAGTGACAGAAAACAACATGTTTGATATGATCAAATGCTACAGAGAAGAAGCCCTTAATTTACTATACTTGAAAAAAAAATTAAAAAAAACAATCCCAAGAGTCAGGCACATGTAATTCTCTGTAATTTTTCTAAGCCTCTAAGATTCACTACGTCTATCACAGTGTATTTATGGCTTTAATCTTCACATTCACCCACTGAGGTTGGCGTTGGCACTATAGTGGTCAGACATTTCTGATCTGAATCAACAATGAAAGTGGAAAAAAAAAGACAAAGAGCAAGAAAAGAGCAAGAATGTTCTTTGGAAAAAAACAAAAAAAAAAATGTGCCGTCTTCCCGCAACCTTTAAGTGCTCTTTTGTTTTCAAGCTGGAAGAATTGCTGGTCAGCGAACGCAGAAATATTCTTTGATATTTCTGCGTTTGCCTTCCAGCAGGGACGGAGAGGGGAGATGGAGGGAGACACTTGCTGGGCTTGAATGAGGTGCTAATAAGTGGATCAGAGGGGTAAGATGGCAGGCATGAAATGGGACATGATGCTGGCGAGCAGTGCGAATTGTCCTGGAGAAAGTGAGATTTCACAGGGATTACTGAGGCACAGCAGCTGGGGTGTGCTGCAGTTCACACGCCGGCTTCCAGGGAAGACCCACAAACCCCTTCTTATGTTCCTATCATGGGCAGATTAGCATGCTGCTATGTGTATGTGCAGAGAAAAAGGGGGGGGGTCTGTGTGTTCCTGCAGCACTCAATTGGCCTGTCAACAGTAGCAGGGAGGTGGGACAGCGGAGCAGAATCTGACTACTGCTGCTGCACGATTAATCATCAGGCTAATGTGAATTTAGTTATTCCTCCTGACAGTAAACGACATATTTTTATGTCATTAATTCTGACCTGTCCCCTGCCTCTATGCTTGGCTTCTTACGCTATTGTTAATACCGAAACAATTCAGAGACAACACCCTTTCTTCGATGAAGCTACACTCATAATAAGCAGGGATCAGTGTGTCATCAGTTGGGTATGTGCAATCATGTCCCAGTTCTGACATCACAGGGCTGTGCTTTCTGCTTTTTTCAATAACAACTGAAAGCTGAGGGATGTTAGTCAAACTATTAAAGGAAGCTTTAGCTCAAGTTGAAGATGAGTTTAAGGCTCACAATACTTAGCTAACAATACTGTCACAAAAGATCTGTTAAGGAAGTGGGTAACTTTACTATATTAAGAAAATGAGACTCAGCCAAAATGCTGAAGAACTTGCTCATACTGTATTGTAATTTGTTTTCCATTGGGAAGCAGGGATGTGATTGGGTGAAGTTGGAGATTGAGATACAAAAACTGTCCAGTACCCCACAAACAAAAAAAAAAACATAAAAATACATCATCTCATTACTTTAAAGTCCAGAAGAGTTGGCTTATTCATTTGGTAAAAGTTCCGCTCAGGTCTGGACCGAGAACCCTGAATCTTGTCCTTATGTGCTTTTTGTCTTCTTCTTTTTTTTTGTACACAGGTTTAGGGTCAGGTTGCAACGCTTCCTTGCAACAGTTTCTCTTTGGATTTCACCATGATACAAAAATAAATAACACAATTTCATTTTGGTTTTCAATTTGTAAAGTTTGGCTCAATGGCTGTGATTTTTTTTTAGAAATGTTTGTATGCATACACTGGACATAAATACTGTACGTCTTTGAGTGAGAGTCCTTTGGTCACAGAAAGGCACAGAGCTCCTTTAAGAAGAAGAACTTTAAGATACATTAGATGCATTTAAGGCACTTACAGTTTACACATGTTGGTATGCATTAGCAGACCAATTCCTTTTGGCCTGAGTCTGAGGTGCAGAGGAGATACTGTGTTGAGGTGAATGGCTTTTGAATACTGCAAAAAAGTGTGTGCACACAGACCTATTTGGTGATTTCCATTTTTTAACCAGTCAGGTGGTCTTAGCTGGGGGAGTAGCGGTCAATGATGCGAGCTTCAGAGAGGGCCTGTGAAGGAGGGGGGAGGGCTTGGCCAAGGATGTCCATCTTGTCGTGGGAGAGGCCCAGGTGCTCTGAGGCCAGTTTGGACAGCGGGTAGAGGCTCTCCATGGCCTTTGCATCGGCCACCAGTTGCTGCTGAGCTTGGATGAGAAGCTCGTTAGCTTTCTCCTGCTTCAGGCCCAGATGCTCTGCTGCATATTTACTCAGAGGATAGATGCCCTCTGTAAAGTCCAGCTTCAGTTTCCCATCTGTCAAACCCCCGGCGCTTCCTCCACTGCTGTGCATCTTCATGTGGCTGATGAGGTTGCGCTGCTGGGCAAACTTTCCGCCGCACACCTGACATTCATAGGGCTTCTCCCCTGAGTGTATGCGCATGTGCTCCGTGAGGCGATACTGCCGGGTGAAGCGCATCCCGCAGGAGTCGCAGGCGAAGGGTTTAAGGCCCAGGTGGCTCCGCATGTGGCGTGTCATGGTGCCACGCTGCGTGAACTTCTTGCCGCAGATGCTGCAGGGGTAAGGCCGGGTCAGCCAGTGGGTCTTCTCGTGCTGGCGCAGAGTGGCGGGGTCTTTGTAGGACTTTTCGCAGGAGGAGCAGCGGTAAGGTCGCATCATCTCCATGATGCCGCCTGAACCCAAACCCTGGCTGGATTTGGTGTCCAGGTGGGACAGACTGTTCAAGTTGTTGCTGCTGTTCAGGCTCCCGTAACCATTTGTATTGCTGCTCATGTTTTTGGTGCTGGTGTTATTGATGTTCCCCATCTCCCCTCCAGAATTGCCGTACAGCTCCTCCTCTGTGTGCGTCTCCACATGTGCGTTGAGCTGCTCCGAGCTCGGGAAACCTTTGTCACAGGGGATGCAGACGTACAGATTGTCCCCGAAGCTCTCTGGCTCGTAAGGCATGTGGAACCTCCCCATCGCTCCAGGGGGAGAAGGGCGACCTTCGCTGCTGCCTGTCTCCTCTGTGCCCGACCCACTCTTGTCGTCCGCTCCTTCACTGTCCTCCCCAGTTTTGTTGTGGTTATGGTGCTGGTCTCCATTTTCACCCCCTTCCTCATCATCCTCATCCTCATCTTCATCTTCAGCTGCGTATGGCTCAGGTTTCACCCAGCGATAGATGTTGCCCATGTCTCTGCCTGCCTCTCCACCGTCTGTGGGGTTGTCAGGGCTGGGGGGGCACAGGTAGCGATCTGTGCTCTGGGAGCCCGAGCGGTGCACGTGGGGGAGGTGCGGGGCGAGAGGCTGGTTGAGATGGGGGAAAGGTGGAGGAGTTAGGGAGCTCGCCTGATCTGTGGACTCCATTTTTTCCGAGGTGAAGGCCCTCCCGTTGGTCCCCTGCATGGGGCTGTTGCGCTCACTCTGGGTTCCATCTCGCTCCTCTTCATTGTGGGTGTTTGCCAGATGGGAGGGTGTGTGCTGGGACTGGGAGTTTGGGCTTTTCTTGGAGAGATCAAGGCCAAAGTTGGGGGAGCAGTTCCTCTCTGGGTGGGCTGAACGGCCGAGCTGCGCGACCAGAGCTGGCTGCAGGGAGGGGAACACCTGAGAGCCCTGGGTGGAGGTGGGGGCATACAGCTCCCCAGCATGGATGGCTAGTCGATGGGGAACCAGCTCCTCTAGTGGTGGTGCCCGGGATGCATGGCTGTGGCAGGACTGAATGACAGGTGTAGAAACTCTATACCTGCCCCCACCTCCTATACCCAAACTGGCAGGCCCCATCTTTGGGTAGGGCAGAAATGCAGGACTTGGGCGTGGAGGGTACTTGCCATTTCTTTTCAGCTTCTTTTTACACAAGGCCACTAGGTCAAGCAGCTGCAGGTAACTAGCTGCTGCCAACACGGCCCCTAGATTCGGTTCAGTGGGAGAGGTGGGGTCTCCCTCAGTAAGGCGGCCTGTGTAGATATAGTCCAGAATGACCCTGAAGACCCCAGGACTCACCATCTCGTGGTCAAGGTTGATGAGATTGTCGTGGACCACCAAAGATTTCAAGTAGAGGCTACTGGCAGCCAGAATGTTCTTGTGAGCTCTGAAGAGGGCGTTCTGCACCACAATGATGACATCACACAGGAAGCCCTTGGTTCGCTGGCTGTTGAGCTGCAGCAGGAGATCCCTAGCATGACTTGGAACATCCATGGCATCCAGCATCGTCTTCAGTCCGCCACCTGGAACAACAGACATCTGTAAACTGTCATGCAGCAATCAGGATTTCAATGCATACGACCACAGTCTGTACCTTTCTGGACCACATGATTATTAACTTCATTATTTTAAAAAGTAATGTTTAAAAACTTCTGATTTACACATCAAAGCACTATTAAAATATATTTGGAATATGGGCTGCCAAAAAGAAAATTAGGTTAAAAGAAAACAGAAGAGGAAACAAACCCAAAACAAATCATTTGCCTGAGGAGACATGCACAAAGATTTAATGAGATCAATAAATGATCACTTTTCTTTTTTAACCAAAAATTTGAATTGCAATATAATGCAAACCTTTTTTTAATCAAATTTGGTTGCGGTGTTTTCTCACTAATGTGTAATTCAAGCTTTAAATATTTACAGAATCATGTTTAATTCATAGTTTCCACTTGATTGAACATGTTCAGGTTGCTGAGCTTGGGCATGGAACGTGCACATGAAGGCACCTCAGTGAAAAGTGAACTTCAGCTGAAGGTGAACGGCCGCAATGGTTTTCTCATTATCAGAAATCTACATGTTCACTTCCTCTGCCGTGTGCAAAAAGAGAAAGAGAGAGAAAAAACAAATTCAGAGAAATTCAAGAAAGTGCTGATATATCGTTGTAGCTGCTGGCTCCCTGATAAAGTATTCCAGAGGTGGTGTGCAGACTTTTAAACAAAGCAGGAGATGAATGTTTCACCCGTGTGATGAACAGCAGGTATAAACCTGCGGGGGAAGGATACATCCAAAAAAAGATAGCTCTCTCAGCCCCTCTGTCAGCCCAGTCATATAAGGAACAGAGCGTGCACTGGATGTAAATCAGCACACACGCTCACACATTCACATTCACACACACTCAAACGTCAACACTAATTGTTCCGTCAAGCTTAAAATAAACTATTTCAGCTGCATGCATGAAACACCATGTATTGTTCACGCAGTGGCATCTGAGGATAGTTTACTTACGAGATTAAACGTCACAAAGTGACCCTGAGGGCTACGTTGCACTGATGGGAAACAAGCAACAAAATATCATGTCATCTGTGTGATCATGGCCTTCCTGACATCAGCTCATTCACTTCTTGTTTATTTCATTCAGCGCAAAATGGGAAGTGTGAATCTATATTTAACACCAAAAAAAAACAATTTAACTAATTTTCTCTTTACTAAGGAGTTCTTAACAATTCAAAAAAAAAATCATGCCTCTATTTTTGTCTTTTACAAAAGAAACAGGTTATTCTTAAAGCTAAAGGTCACTCTCGGGGGGCAATTTTAGCAGTTTATTTTCATGCATGCATGTTCAGCATCAGGCTTAAATTCAACATCAGAAGAGAAAGTCATCACTTCTGAGGTGAAAAATTGACAGTCAGAAAAAATACTACAGTCAGCAAGTGATCATGCAGAGAACAGTCGTGCATACATAAGCAATCCTTTCAATAATCCTAAATGTCCTTTAAATGTGAGATTTATTTGAAGGTTTTTTATTTCTATCTTAAAGGTGCTGTCCTCATTTCTAAACTTACTGCTTGCTGCCATCGTGTATGATATTTATTGCTTAATATTAGATCATATAAATAAACCCAAAGCAAATTAAATAATGTACAAATTAAAAGGTGAGTATAACAAGTTATGGTCGTTTAAACTCCATCAGGTGACAGTCCCAAGTTGTCATCTTAACTGTTTCCACTTCTGGTTTCTGTCTGCCTTTGATTACTCAACGCTCAAAATGTATTGTATATTTTCAGTGTCGGTCACATCAAACGTGTTTAGAAATTAGTTATTGGTTATGGTTACTGTTATTGGTAGTGCAGAGCAAGGTGACAAGTTGTGTACTCACTCTCACACTCACACACACACACACACACACACACACACACACCGACACGCACACACAATGTGCACTTTCACGTATGTCAGCGGTCTACAGCACCAATTGTGCGACACAGATCATCTGCCTTACAAAGTTTAACACAATTAGGTCTTTATGTCCTGACTCAAAGCAGACTCAGGAGGAAGTTAATAATATTAAATAAAAAGCTTAAATTCACATTTTATGTATTTTTGCAAATTTAAAAAAAACATTTTGAGATACCAAAAAAAAAAACACGCAAGCTGAAAACAACTGTGGTGACAAAAACAGTCAAAGTGACTGTGGGTTTCCCCTTTCAACGTAACAAGGGTTTCTTTTCACTCGCTGTCTATCAAAGAATTCAGAGAAGCTGCAGTACGACTTGCCTCTTAAAATATCTGTGCTCACTGTTTGATGTAGCATGGTGACAAAAAAGTGAAAGGCCATGTTAAGACATCTTCTATAAAAGCCTTAATCTCTGCGGTGCATTTAAGCTCACTGCATCCTGTGAGGAAGCCATCTACGATTGCAAAGATGTTTAGTCAGAAAACAAAGTCTGCTACATATCAAGTTACTGTAAACAAATTCAAAGCTTGTGCTACACTTTGTTTGCTCTGTTTGCTATGGTAAACAAGCTGATTAAATCATTTTGTTGGAGTTGAACATGCAGTACAGTCTCCTATAAGAAGGGTACACAAGTCCCTCTAGTTGCAAGCATGTTTTCATCTGAAAGCTTTTTTTTTTTAATGACCCTTCAATATGCCGAGGACATTTACATATTACAGATGTATTTAATAGCAACTGCCACTTCCGTTTATTTGCATTAGATTAATATTCAAAAACTAGCTTTTTTCTCTGTTTTGTCACTTTTGTGGTTTTTGGGGTGGCGCAGGAGACTAAACGTCCTACCTCTGCATGCAGCCTCAGTCATATAAACACTGCAGACATCTGCTTAAAATGTTGTGCTGACAGTTTATTTTATTTCATTTCTTTTTGCTTCCCATACTTTTGTGCCGCCTCTAATTATTTCACAGAAAGTTTGACCAACACTTTCACTGAAAAGTCACTGACAATTTTCAAGAAGATTTTCTTATTGTATATCCAAATGTATTTTGGGTCTTTTTTTTGTCTCACAAGAGGGTAATACAAGCTGAATAAGCTTTACATGCAAAAAAAGAAAATAAAGAACTGTGAGTGTCACAAAAAAGTGCACCCTGCAGTGCAGACCAAGAGGAGCACTTAGGAGAGGTGAAAAGTTGAGTTTTAGTCAGCACACATAATGGGGGAGTCAGTTTCCTGTTATACGTCTCGAGTTATTGCGCATCTAAAAATCATCACACACTTCTGACACAGCTTCTAACTTTTTTTTAGTTTTAAGTGGGTACAGAATATTTCATCTGGTTTAATATTGTAAAATTCATCACTTCTCAGCATTAAATGTTGACAAAAAAAACATTTAATATCGGGCAGGTTTTTTAACCATTTGAGAGTTACATTTAAACCAGTTCATATAGTCTACGTCACTTGTAATTTCGTCTTCTTTTCATTAAAGATCGATACGCCCTGAATTTCTTTGAAAATGTAATTTAAAAAAATATATTTTTTAAGTACCACTAGTGGTCTAAAGTTAATGGGGCTCGTTTAGAAGTTAACACCTGAGAACTTTACGTCGCGTTTTGCATGCAAAGCACTAACTTGTCTGCTGACTTCGAGTCTCTTCGACGTCCTCTCAGTCAGTTTCTCTAATCTAGTTTTACTCTGCAGCTCTTCACATACTGTACAGTAAACCGAATCACGAGTGAACGCATCTCTGTGAGCTGCAGCGGCTCATCCTTCACAGCTTCACTTCATCTCCGCAGATAGAAAGACAGAAAGAAAGAAAGAAAGAAAGAAAGAAAGAAAGAGCCCTAAATCATCCCAGAAACATCACTTTTTCAGTGTATGAGGCAGCTGTTTCTTTCTCTTTTTTAACACAGCACTCAGAATAATCTTTTCTTACCATTGAGAGGACATAAGATCCTGTTTTCCTTTTTTGCACAGTACATTAGACTAAAACATGCATTGAAAATGATTCCTTAAAATGTTTTTTTTATTTTGTCGGAGTTCCCCTGAAGTCATTGTGTTTGACTTCATTAAACACAGTGAAAGGTCTGCTTTCTATAATCCCAACGCAACATTGTGATTTGCTGCTTCCTTTTACATTTTATTACAGGATCATGACGAAGCCCAAGTTCCCTTGTGACAGAGGTTCACGTCCCCTTTAACGTTTATAAGGTAGCCTACAATAAATAATAAATCACAACACTATTCTAAAAAAAAAAACAATAAGCACACGTAAGGTGAGATGTTTAAAAAAAATCTGATTTTGCGGAGCAAGACATATTTGGTTTAACTTTATTTAACCAGAAATAATTTTGAGACGAATTTTGAAGCGTGATGCTTCTACATTTTGAAACATTAGAGGAATTACAGGCAATTTTACAAATCGTTTGATTGACCGTTCTACGTATTCTTAAACATTTTTTTTAAAAAATAAGAATTTGCAATTAGCCTATTCACGCGAATTCAAATGAGCCTTTCGTATTCAGTTAAACTGGAATACAATTTTTCAAACTTCTGTATGAAAGGCTATAAAATAAGTTTTTGGCATATTTAATCATTTAGGCCTGTGTTAAAAACTAAACAGCTTGCCTCTCTGACAGCACGAGCTGCTACAGTTTAAAGATTGGAGCCTGAACGTCATCCCTGCCCTGTCCTCGCGCAGCAGCGTCTCAGCTCTTACCTGCATGCCCGATGTGTTCTGCCATCCGATCTAAGTCTCCCTTAATGATCATCTCAGCAGCCTCCAGGAGTCATATCTGACGTTTCAGCTTTGAACTGCCAGCCTCCAAAAAACCATGCCAGTTTTCCGCGCGCGTCTGCCAGCTCTTTTTTTATGATTATTAATTGATATGAATTTCTTGTCGCTCCTTAGGTCCGTCCTCCCACCCACTTCCCTCCCTCTCCCTCCTTTCTGAGTATCTTTCAGCCCCTCCTCTCCCACTATTTCTCATCCCCTCCTGTAAAAAAAAAATTAAAAAAAATTACGTGCTTAGAGCAGCATCAGTTTCCTCCAATTTTTTTTCTAGTAATTTCCTTAGCTATTTTTGAGACGGAGCAATAACGCGCACCGGGATGATAATGGAGCCTCTATGCGCCTTAAGTGTTTTAGCGCCCCGTGTGATGTCAGTCTATAATAAAACTAAAAGGTAACATCGAGGGCAGGAACTTCAAGTGACCCCGACATGAACTTCTCAACACATCGTCTTAAAGAGACAGGACACTATTGTACGCACACGTACATGTGTTGGTTATTTATGATCAGTGAGCCCACTTAAAAAAAAAAAACTGTGGAAAGCAGTTTCAAGATTGGACACAACTGCTTTGACTAAGAGTTGGTAAACGTTCTTAGTCTATGTTTAAAAACCTTCAAGGAATTTTACTCCACCCAAACACAAAATCATATTTCATTTTAGTTCGTCCCTGAGGCTTACATTTTCATCAAATGTAATCAGTAATCATAGTAATCATGTTTGCTTTTTGAATGGGGTATAGGAAATGAATGCACAAATAAATGTTGGTGTTGGGTAATTGTACGTCTTTTAAATAATTCAAATCAAATACAGTTTAATAAAAGTGTGTTACATCTCAGCTCATCTCTTGCACACCTCTCCTGAGAACATGTGTGACTTTAATAAACTCTCTGCTGCACTACAAGAAAAGGTAAGTAAAAACTAACAGGAGGTTAAAATCTCTAAAACTGAACAAACCCCTTTCTCTCTCTTTCTCTCTCTCTCTCTCTCTCTCTCTCTCTCTCTCTCTCTCTCTCTCTTTCTCAGACACCTGTTGCAACTTTGTTTTTAAACATCACGTAGGCCTACATATAGATTGAAGTGTACAGCTGACTGCATGGCTAGATGAAATGTTCTTGTAAATAATAAAACATATAGGCTAATAATAAACATGCCAACCTAATTAAACATGTGATTTCACATTTCCATCCTGTATGCTATCAACTAGTAGACTATCTAACTAGTCAAAAAACGGTTTTGTGCCTACATCAAAACGCTCTAGCCTCTGTTTTTTAATTCTTTGAAAAATTGCCTCTCACTACTTTAACAATCAGCATATTTCCCATCATATCAAAAATGTATTCAGTTAATTAATTAAACTAAAAGATCATGTTGAAATTGCCTTCTTACGACTGACAACAGAAACATTCAACTGCCTACTATAAAGAGACTGTTCGCCAGATGAGCCTGAGGCCGGACATGCCCAAAGGATCCAGATGCTGAAGCCTTGTCTGCACTGAAAGCTACATCAGGAACATCCGCTCACAACGATATGACATTACAAACTTTTAAACCGGTATAAACTCATTAGTGTCATAAGCAGATATGACAAGAGACAAAAAAATCAATGCTCAGCTTGTAAGTCCTCCGCACCTCTCTGTCGTATCCCAGTCTTACCTCGGACTCATGTCTGGTACTCTGGCCGTCTGTCTGCTCCCCTTTTCTGCATTCCCTCATTCAGAACTCCGCAGTCTCCTCCAGGTCCAGCTCTCTCCCCAAACTTCTCTTCCGCGTAATTTTCCTGTCAGTTCTCTCCGGGTTTTCTCCGTATTTCCCTTTCTTCCAGATACTGATTTTTCTCACGTGTTGTTAACGAGACCATCTGACACTTCTTACTGTGTCGGGGTCCGGTCGGACCAAAAACCTGCCGGCGGAGACTTTACGCGCACAGCGACACCCAATGGCGCACTCAGTCCCACTGGACTTATTACGAAGGACAAGCTGATCTGTGAGAGGGTGGAGTGGGGGGTGAAAATGAATCATAGAAGCATCATAGAAAAAAAAAAAAAAAACGTTCAGTTACCTTTCACCAATATGATCTATGTTAACAGTCGAATTCATCATGTTTTTCAAGGAATTCAAAGTAATAAGTGCAGCTTAAAAGGTTTGTAAACCTTTATCACTTTTTACTTTCACTAATAATGGGCAGTTTAGGAAGAAGTATAAAGATGTGTACTCATGTAAAAGTGCCAACAGTCTGAAAATACTCAATGCTCATGCTTTGAGTCATGAAAATGTTTGTTCTTTGTTATTTTTCCCCTACTAGTAACATTAAACGTGACCTTTATTATCATTGAGAATATCTGGAAGCTCTTCTCAAATGTTGCTGTTAGTAATGATGACCTCTTTTAATTACACAATGTGCTGAATAGTTTCTAAACATATTTTTATATATATATATATGGGCCTATATTATGTTTATGAGTAAATTTCAGACTTGAATTCTGATGAATGCAGTGTAGTAAGAGGTACTATATTTTCCCAGATATATTGGTGACAAGATAAAGAATCATCAACTCTTGAAGTAAATATGACATTTCATGGAACTTTTAGTTACTTTAATCCCCTTTTTTATCTCAAGCCTGATAAAAAAAACAAAAAAAACTGACTGCCTTTGAATGTCTTGCACTTTACATTTTTTTTGTGAGTCTGAAGGGGGTGGAGGGGGTAAAATAATTTTAATGTTTTTTGTCAAATGTTAAGAAAATGTCTCTGGGTCTATTGGGTATATTGTTGTTTAATGGCTTCAATGCCTGCAAGAAGAGAAGTATATTTTGATTCTTTTTCTTTTTTTACACACTGTATGATGAAGTCATTAACTTAAAAAAAAACCTATGCTGACATATATTCAATCTCCTTTATTTCGATGGCTTGTGTCAGAAAGATTTGTCTGTTATTGTTCACTCAAGTCTTTCCACAGCCACCCTGAGGTGTTTGAAAGACCGCAGATTGAAATTGATGAAAGTCATTATTTTACCATCACTGCAATCGTTAATGGACAGTCAGCTGTGATGCAGTAAAATACTTACCAGACTGAGGCCTGTTTATGTTTGCTGCCATCACAACAGCAGCTGACAATCTCGTAAGTATGCAGGGTCTCTTCCTCTCGAAAAAGGTGCTAGGCTTTGATTGAAGTGATCCGAGACACCCTGTGAGCCTGCTGGTATTGTCTCCTGCTTCCATGTTCCCTCGATGAACTGTTGATAACCTCACGGACTGAGGCAGCAGACCTGTGCAGGAGAATAGATGTGCTGTATCAAGGATGTGACAGCGTGTTTCGATTCATGGTCCAAAATAGTTTTTTCCACATGAGGAAACATGCCAGGTTTGTCCTGATTAATTGCTGTTTGTGTATACACCTTGAAAATAGACTGGTGGTTTTATTAACCTCTAAAGTTATGGGGTTTATACTGTATTTATCGGATTATAAATATCTATAGCGGCCTCTTATATTAATGTATTACACCATGACTTAAACCTGGGCTATTCAACATAAAAAGGTATTTAATGTAAATATGCAGATTTTGAATAGGGATGGGAATTGCAGGGAAAGTCAGGATACAATACGATAATATAATGATACAGCGATCTGTGATGATTGATATATTGCAAGTCAATCATAATAATACATCACGATATCTGATACAAAAGGCCTCCAAAAAGGTAAAGTGGATTCATATGTTTATTGCAATGCAATTTGGTGTGAGTGTCACCTCCTATGATACTTCATCCTTTAACAAGTTTTTGCTGATGTCTGACATTATCACGCTTTCTTCTTCTTCTTCATCTAAGCCAATGCGAACTTCTTCTTTGGGCCAATTCAACTTCTGTTCACATTCCCCTTTATGTCATAAGCACCATCATGAGGGGTCAGGAAGAAGTGACACTGTGATTCAGATCTGTTCAGAGCACTGTATTTTTGTTTATTATCTAAATATCGATATTTGGAACCAGCAATTTGATAACTATGTAAATATGTACATTCTTGAAGATGATAGCTATTCAGAGAACAAAAAATAAAGAATAATATGTGAAATATGTTCGTTTTTAATTGGCCATAGCTATTGTTAACATAGCTAAAGTTAATTCATGTCATATTTTGATTCTATCTCACAATGCAAGGAATGATAGCTCACTTTTCTGGAAAGGACCAGACATACTGACACTTCACCATAAAGCAAAACCAACAGACGGCTAGGACAAAAACTCAGTAAGAGTTCTGATCTGTGAAGATCGTCCTGTAACATGTTTGGGGGGGTAGGAAAGAGTTTTTCAAATGTTTAATTGAATAGAAAGTAATGTTGTTTAGTTTCTGTTTTCTTACACTTCTCTGGGTACAGCTGTTGTCTTCCCAGACAGACTTTATCTCTCTAATCAATCAGCCCCCAAAGGCCTGCGCTGGACGTTCAACTTCAGCCTGTCAAAACACAATTTAACATACCGTAATCTGCAGCTCTGCAAACCTGAAACGCTGAACTCTTAATGAACTGGAAAAAAACAGCCTTTAAATGGCTGGTTGTAAGCAATGATTCAATTAAAGCTGAGAGAGCTGAGCAAACACAGCACAAACACAGTCCAGAAAGCCCATCCCAAAGAGCGTGCATGTCTAGTTCCCCCAAAAGACCCACTCTCAGTGTGGAAAGAGAGCTGGAGATAAGGCCGGCTGGACAGGCGGATCCCTTAACAGTCTGCTGTCACCCTCTAAATCACACACCTTTCTCACTGTTTCTCCAAATGCAGGTTTTACATGTGACATATATCTTGCAGAAGCCTTTCTGGCTGGAGTTGGAAACACAATGAAGAGGTGTACTTTCTGAATGACTGCAGCCAACTTTTAGACATCTGTGAGCGGATATGTTGCAGGGTCACAAAGTCTCTGCGGCCCAAAGCACCTCTTTTCAATTTAAAGTTTTGAAAGAAGAATTTTGCAATCACCTTATTATTGCTCCATCTCTGCCTGCCAGAAGAGGAAAAGAGCAACGCTGGACATTAAACAGGACAGTCCAAAAGTAATCTTAACACCTTGAAACAGACCATCTGAGTGCAATGTCCCACACTTTTCTCAACTACTCACACAAGACCTTCTGCTCTCTCTTACTCCTTTCATTCCCATCAATCATCCCTCTGTCCTTTCCTTTCTTTCTTTCTTTCTGTCTGGTGGACATGGCCACACATATCTCCAGATGCTTGCTGTGACCGCTCCACCATACCGGACACGCCCCCCTCCAGCTTCAGATTTCCCTCACCACCAGAAATTGAACACTAGGCTCAACATTTACACACAGACTCTCTCCTAATTCATCCTAATGAGCAGTTTCGTGACAGCTTTAGAGCAAGGCATGTCATTAGAAGGAGCAGAGCTGTTGTGAGCGTTGGGCCGCTATTCTATAGTTTGCTCCTCTGCCTAGATTATTGGGCCATCAAAATCACTTGATTTACAATACGCCTACTTTATTTTAAAATAACATCTTCAGGCAGGCAACATGCTTAAACAGGGTTTAAGCATGTTGATAATGAGGATCATTATGAGGATCCTTCCCTCATCAGTAGGCCTACTTACTTATCTCTAAACTTTAATCAATAGAAAATTAGGAAGATTTTAAGAACATTTTTACAATACAAAAAATATAAAAGTAATAGGCTTCTAGGTTTACAATGAACTCATTCATTCTCTTATTAGGATTTGGCTGTCTGCACAATATACAGGAAGCTATAGCTAGCAGGCAATTAGCTTGGGTTAGCAAAAACACTTCAAAAGCAAACAGTCAAAAGCCTGGTTGTGTCAAAAGTATACATTTTCTGTGTACCTGCTTCTCTAAAGCTGACCAGATAGAACATTTTGGATGTGCTAACAGAACCAGGCAAGCTAATCAGCTAGCTCCAATTTCATATTAAGCTTACATTAAGGAGAGTTGTTGTGATCTTTTAATCCAACTCTCTAAAACATAATGAGTAAGAGGGAGACTTTGAAAAATTATTAACTTTTCAAAATTAAAATAGTGTAACAGATGGGTTATTGTTTATCACATTGGTAAAGATAGGTTAAACTTAAAACTACGGCATATAGCTTTTTACAGTAACCAGTGCACAATATTAAATTCTAGTAGAAGGAACCCTTGAGCAAAGAAATAAGAACATGTAGGGGATAATGGGCTACTATAGGCTACAACTGAAATGGTTGCCCCTTAGACCCTTAATGGCTAACAAAACACGTACACCTGGTCATATTGATCATATCTATCATATCATATTGGTCAGATTTTTTCTTAAACTCGGCTAATTGAGTCTGCACCATTTTCATTGAAAATTGGTTAACAGTCTTTTCTCCAAACACTTTTGAAAAATAATGAATATTTGATTTTGTTGCACAGAGACATACATTTCTAAAACAGCTACTGAACCTAGCATCGATACTGTGCGATGTCACCTGCTGGTCAACAATGAAAATGTCATCTTGAAGAGAGAGAGGCTGCAATAACAACACTGCTTATCACAAGCTTTTAGGTTAAAATGGCAAACTGGAGTTGTGTTTATTGGCCAACTGATTATGAATTGGATTATTTGTTCTTCTTTTAAGCTCTCTGATTAGTGTCCATTATCTCCTGAGCAAGTATGTCTTGTTCAGCCGTTGCTTTAGATGCTATGTTCTACCATGTTTTCAAAACTTTATGTTTCCAGCATTCAGTTGGTTGGCACACAGAAACAAATCAGTTAAGTTGTAGGTAAGAGAACCAAAACAACCTGCTGAAAGGTGCTACAATACTTTGTAAAAGCTGAGGTACTGAAGAGTGGCAAATCCTCCATCGGTTTATTATTACATACATGTGAGCTGTTTTACATACAAGTAGCTACGTGATCCAAAGTGGATATGAAAAAAAAAAAGGGTTTTGGC